GTCCTTCACCTTCTCAAAATGATCCCACACTTTGGATTTCCTGCCCGACATGTTATTAACTAGCCTGTGGAATAACCGCAGGTAGCAGCCCTGGAAATTAGGTACACATGCCATGTTTTTAATCGCCTGGAAAACGCGAGGGTGGGCGCTGGGTGCTTCTCTTGTGCCTTTTCTGTGCCAGCTTTCAAGAGTGTGGTGGCAGGTTGTGTCTGAGGTTGCCAAGCAACCTTAACAAGCATTGTATAACCTATTTACCTGAAATCCTGAGTGCAGAGCTGATCTTCTTCCAGGCGCTGTTTATAAGTGTTTAGGCCTATCATCTGTGGGACAGATGTACAGTAAATTTCTGGGTACCCCTGATCAACTTTTACATGTTTATCACAGAATGAATACTTATGGAAGAAGGAAAAGATATCTGTCGGCTTTGATTGGTTTGTAACGTGTCTGACTGCTGAGCGTGGCCACTTCCTGTGTTTGTCCTTTCAAATTAAATTCCCACATGGTCCAGTCATATAGGTTTTGATTTATTTTGACATTTTATTTTAATAGAGGTTCACGTTTGTTCGTTGTTTTTATTTCTGCGACTAAGCAACCATTGAAATCATGCCGACTAATGACCTTTCCGGCCGACTAAGGTCTGGTCAAAACTTAGGGGGCAGCCCTAGACAGCAGCAACAGGGCAGAGCCGGATTAGGCAACCTGCAGCTCTGGAGACATATGCAGCTCTTTAGCTTCTCTCCAGTGGCTCCCATTTTCATTTATCATTGTTGTAGGCCTCAAGGTGTTCTTACATTCTCCATCTGTAACAATGTGTAGCCTCAACACTGAATAATTTTCCTCTAAATTTTGCAGAACCTCAGTAGTGGTGGCTAGTCTTGGGCTAACTATGAAGCTATGGATAAGGAAAAGCTGCAGAGGGAAATAGAGAATTTAATAGTGCATGGACAGATTTGTGTGTTTTCACTGCACAGTTTAAATACCAAATAATCACAAGTAGCCCACTGCAGAGGAGCCAGCTTGTGGTAAAACATATTACTGAATGCTCATTTGGTGACCTACAGGTTAATTTAGACTTAATAGGCTGCTCAAATGTGTTTTGCAGGTCCAGACAGATTTTTAAAGGTTGTTAATCCCTGAGACAGAGAAAAAGCAACATTTACGACATATTTTACAGCGTATTTGGAAAAGGTAGTTGTGCTTTTGCTTATAATAATTTGATTTCTATGTTGGTCTAGGTAACCCCCCTGTCTCTCTCTGTGTCAGAGAGTGAGACAAGGGGAGACAGACATTGATACAGGGATCAAAAAATGGCAACTGTCTGTTTCCTAACAGCTGCATCTAGAGCCAGATACAGAGCTACAGAAAGTGCACCTCTTGTTGTCAGCGTTCCACAGAGAAAACAAAAGCAAAGAACTGTGTGTGCTATAAAACAGACTTAATGACACCTTCGTGTTTTTCTCATAAAATAGATGCACATGTTACTTAAAATAATACCCAGCCACAGAGTCCACTTCCAGCTCCACGCTCTACCGGGGAAACATTACTAACATGTTCAATCTTATTAAAATGTCAAAGTGCCCCCTTAACAGATACCTTTACTGTGCAGCTGTTTTCGAGAACAGACTGATAGCTCCCCAGTGAAGGAGACCGATCAAGGGTGTGAACTACTACTCTGTTTGTGTGTACGTGTGTGTTTTAGGGTGGGGAACGGGAGACATTATTTGTGTGGGGATGTTTGGTGCTTCTCCAAGCCCAAGCACTCTCCATGACCTTCTGTTATATGCAGGGGAGGTGAATGCTAAGCTAGATTCAAGTTTTAGTTTGTATCTGCTCACACAATAACACAAGCAAACTAAGTCGAGGCAGTGGTAGACCTGCAGTTCCTGTGTTCAGTGAGGTAAAATTACAGTTTGTCAGTGGAGTCTGGGGTCAACTGTAAGTAGCTCCAGTGTAACAACTGGGAAACAGGTGACAGTGAATCAACAGACTAAATCCAAAAAACCAAGAAGGCGACACAGGAAAACAAAAGGCTGGAACGCTAGACACACAAGGAGCTAAGCTGAACTGGCACTGAGAGAAAACAAGATACACACTAAATACTCTGTGAGGGGAAGGGTAACAAGACACAGGTGAGGCTTATCAGGGCGGGACCGACAATCAGACACAGGTGAAGTCATCTAAAGGGAGGGAAAACACACAGGAGCAGGAAGTGAAGTGATCTGAAACGAGAGGAGATGTGAGTTTCAAAGTAAAACAGGAAACAACATGAATGAATAAAATGAAAAAACATAACTTAAGGAGGCAAGAGATGGTTAGCTTAGCATAAAGACTGGAAACAGGGGGAAACAGCTATCCTGGCTTGCTTCAAAGACAAAAAAGCCACATACCAGCTCCTCTAAAGCTTACTGACTTTTGCATTATGTCCTGTTTGTTTCCTCCAGGCTCAGACCACATTCGTGAGAAAGATGGTTTGTGGTCGGTGTTGATGTGGTTGTCCATCATGGCTGCCAGGAAACAGGGTGTTGAGCAGATTGTCAGAGAACACTGGGCCAAGTTTGGACGTAACTACTACTGCAGGTAATCAGCTAAATAATCTCTCTGAATATGGAGCTGTGCTTTCATGATGCATTTGGGCAGTGGTGTATTTTTTTTTATCATTTATCTCTTCATCGGTCTCTCCTTGTTTAAATTGTGGAGCTACTTGTTATATCTTGAATTTATTTAAATCAGCAAACCCTGAGGTTGACTTCCCTCTTTTCCCCAAAGTCCCAATCCTCTTGTATCCCTACCAAAGCCAAATATGTCTCCCAGGCCTTCACCTTCGTCCACTTCTCCTCCAGTCCTCCTCACTGGTTGTCACTCGTTCTTATTTTAACCTCTCCCCTGTGAGAAGCAGAGATAGTTTTTGCAGTCAACGTTCCCACTGACAGTTGCTGCAGTTCTTCACGTTCCCACAGAGAGCTTTCCTAATTTGATGTATATTTCCCACAACATGTAGATGGAGAGACACGACAGGCCAAGGACCAGATCCCAAAAAAGTCTGTTAAACATCTGTCATGAGGAAAGAGACAAACTTTGTCTCCTGCAGTTTAGGGGCATTTTAAGCAAAAGCAAAGCTTCAAAAATGTCTGTTTATCTTAGATCAGTTATTCTTCTAGAAAGCTTTTCCTCTGACTAGTGTGCATGTGTGTGTCTATGCTGGGCACGTAAGCATCTAACTGAGCATTTATGTGTTTATCAGGTTTGACTATGAAGGCCTGGACCCGCGTGCAGCCTTTTACCTGATGAGGGATCTGGAGGGAGTCATCTCAGACAAAGCTTTCACCAGCCAGAAGTTTGCCGTGGGAGACCACATATACAGCGTGGAGAGGGCCGACAACTTCGAGTACATCGACCCCGTGGATGGATCAGTGGCTCGAAACCAGGTCAGTCTGGGCTAAAAGAGGGTAGAAAGACCGTGGAAAGGAAAGACAAATTTAGAAGGACATGCAATAAAATTAGACGAGTGGAAAAATTTCTATTACTTCCATGACAGGTGCAGGGTTTTTCTTCAACATTTGGCGGGGCACATTAATTTTGAATGTCAAACACTTCATTTCCTACATTCTGGTGAATTTTTATGCACCCATCTGTGCCTTTTCTGCATGGTCATGGTATTTCCAGATCTAACCATGCATAGTTACTTCTCATCTGTCTGTTTCATGGCCAATACTGCCACCACCTACTTTACTGGAGGCATTGCTGCATGTATGAGTCATGTTCTAGCAGTTGGTCAGAGTAAAGGCCCTCAGCTACTGTAATGTTGTTGACATGGACATGTTCTAAATATTGAGGAGGGTGTGTCCCCTGTATCTCCCTCAAATCTACACCTTTGACTTCCTCATTACTAATTTTGAACTCTGGAGAAGAGATGATACCTGCAAGACCTAATAGTTAGAATTAAGTTATAATTGCCTAGAGTTGGTTCATGTTCTCACGGCAGCATTTACATGCAGACCAGATAAAATGCCTGCACGAGAAAGCTGCTCTTGATTGGTCAGAATTTCCATGTGGGAAAATTCCAGGAAGTAAACAAAACGGTGAAGAGGAGTACACTTGCAAGATAAATGTGACACTTTCTAATGTCACAATGGAGGGACAACTACGCAGGTTGATTTTAGCGCTGCTCATCGTGGACTACATTGCTGTCATTGTTCATTTTAGTCAAACCATACAGTTTGAAAACGGCAGTACAGGAGGAGGTGCACATTAATAATCCTCCAGGACTGTAACATGCTCATGTTTAACCCAAACAATGTGTCATGTAACTGCTGTTGGTTCAGGCCGGGGCACATTCTCACCACATAGAGACCACACCAGAGTTCATTTTTTCCGTTGTTTTGGGGCGCACCCGAGTGTGATTGCTGTGTTCACACCTGCCCAAATGAACCACACTTAGGGGGCAAACGAACTTGACTTCCATTGAACTGAACCAATCATGGTAGGTGTGAAAGCACCCTAAACGATACCCAGCCCTGTCACCCTGCATGGGATGGTTACCATTAAATACCATGCTACTACATGAACATGCACGCCTCAAGTGGGTTTACATTGTTGTGGTAGTATATGTCATTGATCCAGTGTTTCTGGCTTTGGTCCATATAGTGCAACAAAGGGATACGACAGGCCGTGGTAATATGCAAAGACGAGGAGAGAAATGTGGTGCTCTTGCATAGTATACCTGCCACATGGCAAAATATAATATAATGGGCACAGTCTTTCACATGATGAAGTTATATTCAGACCAGAAATGTGTTGTATTTTTTTTATTTCAGTGGCTTAAGATGCAGTGTGTGTACTCATGTTATCAGACTTTTTTCAGTGATACATGACCTGTAGCAATTTAGGTCAGAGCAAACCGGCAAATGCAGTAGATCAGAAAGTGCAGTTCAAATCAGGTCCTTCAGGTTTCATGGGGTCAGATCTGCCCTACATCTTAAACATGCACACACACTCACACTTACACGTCTGTGCTCTCTTTCCAACACATGCACTCACTCATCAGTCTCTTGTGAGCAAGACCACCCACTAGGCTTTACTGTTGCCTCATTAGAGAGGTTCCATGTTTGGATGTGATAGTCTATCTTCCATTGCAAACCATAAACATACACACACACACACACACACACACACACACATTACATACAACACGTATCCCTACACATACTGATAACTCCCTCGGTTGATGTACCCTCCCTGTCCTCTCCCCCTCAGTCTCTGTGACGTTTACCCAGCTGACTCCCTCAGTTCTGCCCAGAAATGTGTGGAAACTCATTCCTGGCGTCAACACTTCTTAGCCTCCGCCCCAGCAAATACCACATACACACACTGTGCATTTTGGTGTGCGCTGTCCGTTGGTACAGTTGTCTCTGTGCTTAAGTGTGAACACATGCATACACTTGCATTGGCCTACACGTGTTCACACATGTGTCTGCAGGCAAATTTGTCTGTCACCTTACGTACCTTAACAGCAGTAAAGGGTCTCGCCGCCCCGCTGTGAACACTTCTTCCGTGTTACCATGGTTACAACAGCTCCACTGCTAGTTAGTCAGTCACCCCAAAATGTGATTTAACCTCAGTGGCAAATCCTCAGCATCCCAGTCGCCCCAGTGTGTGTTATTACAGCATACATTCCTCCCAGGACAGAATTATATCAGCTGTCGTCTCACTTGCAGTCTCTCCGCCGCAAGTGTGTTTGAAGGGGGAAAAGTTGGCACATAGACGCAAACACACACACAAATACACACACACACACACACACACA